GCTAAAAATCACAAAAGCGATAGTCATATGGTGGGTCAAAAAGAAGGGGATGTGGAGTGACCAGCCAGACATGGTCAGCCTTGCCACAGTCAGCGGGTGTGGGAGCCAGCTTTTGACTCACTGCCACGAACCCGTTGCCGCCGTAGCACGAACCACCATGCATCACAATACTGCCAGCAGTCACGTTCGATGGGGTGCTATCCATGGAGGAAGTCGGGGTGCCACTCATCCACTTTGGGGACGAGCCACACCACCCCGTCTTGTGACTCCTGGTGCATCTTGATTCCATCGGCCGGTGCGAGGTTTGCCAAGACGCCTGCGGCCAACTGGAGGAAGGATGGCCAGTGGCTTTCACTCAATTCGGCGAAACTTGGGGTGAGACAGCGAAACGAGCAGAAAAGAAACAGGTTTTCTTCAACTCCATGGTCTACAATCGCATGCAGTAACTGAGCATTCTTCTGCAGATTCCAGCTTTGTCCTGGGTCCTGGGTTTCACTGCATGACAAGCTCTTGAGAGTTGCCAAAGCAGTTTTGAGTTGAGAAGACTTTTCCGCAGACTGCCACCTGCGGGTGATTCAGCGCATGGTTGTTACTGCCATGCCTGGACCAGTTACAGCCAGTCGAGCTGCCAACCTGAGGTCAACCGAGTCATCCCTTCGGGAAGATGAATTCGAAGGTCGCCCCTCAGTGCCGCACTCAGCGGGTGCCTCCGGGACCATTGACCATGGGATGAAATCGCAGGATTTGCGACGTGACATCGAACTCCTCGGTTTTTGTGGGCACTTTTGCAGGTGAGTTCCTCATCTCAAACGGCCGCCTGGAGGGTTGAGAGGAATGTGCGACAGAAAGACCACACTTCCAGATATGCTCTTGAAGAGAGCACCATGAACAGTGGGTCAGAAAGTGGACATGAGATGAAAGGTATCGTACTTTCCAGTTACAGCACTAGACGTCGGCTGGTGAACGGCAAGGTCAAAAAGTCCACAAGACAATATTGGTCTCAAGTGAAGCAGGATTTTCGTCCATGAAAATCACATAAAATCACCATGAACATGTAGCAGGCACGTCAGAGTGGCCAACTCTGATATCACCAGATCAAATGGGCGTCTTCAGTGGTTCCAAGCGATCTGCAGCTACCCCCTGCTGGTGAATTAACATGGTTTGTCAACCAAAGCACCTGTGCAGAAGGTGCGTTTCACCTGCGTGCGGAAGGTTGCATGGGCGCCCACATCACACAGCGTCCTTGCCGCTGTTGAGGTGGCCCTTGTGAGAGACTACATCAGCATCGGCCGCTATCGGCACATCTTGACGGCTCGGCGGCCAGGGACGGGCCAAGCTCCCTGTTGGATCCAGTTATTGGTGTTGCTGGGGGTCTTCACCGTGTGTGTGTGTGTGTGTGTGATGGATGTAGACAGGTCAATCTATGTGGGGTCAATGTCAATGTAGAGGGGACCACCACACATGATGCCACTGGATTTGAATTCTGAAGGTTTGATTTTTTTTTTGTGGATGGAAGATGGAATAGTTAGTTGCACAGTTCAGTTACGATCACTATTGGAACGCGCCACTTATACGTCTTATGGTGGACCTGGAGAAGGGGGGCCGATTGTTGGGAACATGGGAAAATCGTGTTGGTGTGTGCGGGTGTGTGAGAAGTTCGACGCAAGATTTTCACGCCAAGAATCAACCCCCAAGAATTTCGAAGACTATCAAAGACTTTAGGCAGGAGAACCTCAAGAAGGAACGCCTCCGCTAGAGGTGGTGTTTCCGGAAGTTGGATTTCTTTTTTGAGTTGGGCTCAAACTTGGAGAGCTTGACAGATGAAAAAACTTCATCCGCTGCAAGGCCTGCATTTTGCTCATGGTGATGATCTACCTCTTTCTCCTGTGCGACCTGGTTGGGGCACTTGGACCGCGGACCGTAGTATATGCCGTCACGCCGCGCCGAACCGCGGTCGGAGCACGGCAGGTCATTGCCCATTGGTGCAATGCTTTGTCGATCAACCCGCAGGCGACCGCAGGGTGCAAGATCATCGGGTGGGAAGGTCGACCTGGTTCTGGGTTCAGCCAGTGTGCTGGGGTGTGGGAAAGCCACAGAGTCCGGATCGTTCCGTATCGTTCCGTGGCTCTTGTTCCAAGGAAGATGGGGGAGAAACGGCCACCCGGATGATCGATTCGAGCATGGGAGTGGACATGGCCCCTTGGATGATCATCCTTTACAAGACATGGCGGTTTTGTTCTCCTCCCATGATCATTGGCCCAGGGAGTGTGCCGATCGCCGTGGCCAAGGAACAATGACAGCTGTATGGACCGCGTGTTAACGCCAGGCATCAGCAAGACCCTTTTTGTCTGCCTATTTGCTGCGGCCTCGGTTGATGCCCCATGTGTGATTCGACATGTTCAAACTCTCAGCTTTTCATGATTAAATAGATACAGAAAACAATTCAATTACACTGCTATTAGATTCTTAAGATCATCCCCCAGGCACGGGCGTCCCACAAGCGTTATATATAGTCAAGGACAACCATTAGGCAGAAAAACTCCCACTCGAAATTAAGCAGATGGGGGGGTACACATGTTGGGTTATGATAGTGTGCAGTCCCTACAAATATGCTTACTGGGGGTCACTCTGAAGTGCTCATCCAATCTGCTTACTGGGGGGGGCTCTCTCTCTCTCTCTCACTCTCTCTCTCTCTCACTCTGTCTCTCTCTGTCTCTCTCTCTCTCTCCCTCCCTCCCCCTCCCTCCGTCTCTCTAGAGTTGTGGGTTGACAAAGCTGCCCGTCAGCATTTTCCTCCCGTCCCAGATTGTCTCAAAAATACATGCTCTGTACGGAGTGCGGAACTGGCCGCAACAAATTCTGCCATTGGGGCGGATTTAAAGGGCAGGAGAATCAGAATCTTCAAAAGATTGCTTGAAAAGAAGTTTCTTTGGTAATATATATATATATATAGTATATAGGAAACATGTCTAAATAGTATATATTAGTACATATATATATATATATGAATATAATGGGCCCAGTGATGCGTGGTATTCGCCCGTCCATATCTCCAAGCCACCGCCTTTCTATTCGCCCGTCTCACGGGCTGCGTTGATGAAGCTCAGACTGTGCTCCGGATAGCAAGAACCACTGAACATGGATGATGTTCCAAGCGGGCGGCCCTGCCACAGCAGAACATCTTCCTGACCCTTTCCCAAAAAGGTCAAAGCTGACTTGGCCCACTCCAGTTGCCCCGTGAGGGCATCGGAGGGCTCCGACATGGCTCTAACTATCAAATCTATATATATATATATATAGTCAATGAACCAAAAGAACATTTTCCAAGACATGTCTCTATCAAAATCTATATAAATAGACATGGCTCTATCCTGTTATATCTCCAGTGAACCTCAATATAATATCCTGCCCTGAGCTTGAAACAGTGTGTGTGTGGTTGGCTTCAGGCTCAATGCCAACGGTCGGTCTGGCAAGTGCACTGCAGTAAGCAGACTTGTACAATGATATGTGTGCGATCAATTCCTCCGAGAACCGTATATGCTTACTACTGGTTGGCCTCTCAATACACTGACCGGCCGATGAACACTTTAGTCAACGGCGACGGGGGTTCTTGGCAGATATTTTTCTGCCTAACCCTCGTCCTCGACTATATTTGCTTCCTCGGCTGTTGAACATCACCACCAGGTTTTTCTTGACTGGTTGTAAATTGCTAACAGTTTCTTTGTTCTAGTGACTCTAGTGGCTAAGCTTTACAGATATTTGAGGTTCTGGTTGAGCCTTTCCTTGGTGGCCTGGGTTCTGGGTTGGCGGGAAGGAACGTGTGGGACCTCAGAGGGGAGCCATGGGCCCATGTGATGCAAAAGCTGAGCAGCTACTATGAAGGGCACTCATTGCTTCTCAGTGCGCCAGTACAGTGAATTACACACCTTTGAGATCCTTTGAGGTTCATTGATTTCGGTGGCCCCACCGAGTGACGGTCAGTTCTGTCCATTCCTTTTCAGCCGTGGGCGGGGCTACCGAGGGCCTTCACCATGCGTTTGTCTGCCGCGATCCATGACCGTGTCCTTCACAAGCCGATGCCTCAGAACCCGAGAACGCTGCCAACTGTGAGAAGAGGTGTCCCCCCTTTCCATTGGGGCTCCTGATTGTTGCAATCAGGAGCCCAATGGTTTGATGAAAGCAGCATAATTTCTCATCAACTTAAGGTTTTTGATGTGTTTTAGATATCTCAGATGGTCCGACATCAGTGGAACAGTGGTTGATGACCGTCCAACTGCATGTGCCTTGCCCGACTCTCGTCTCAACGACATTTCCCACGACCGTTCGGCTCGCAGCTGGTGACTGTCCATCCTCCAAACGGGACCGTCCCTATGTGGTGTTGTTGCGAGACCTCGGAGGAGCTGGAGATCCAAGCACCCGTGGTGGCCGATCAGGTGCTGCCCGAGACGGCAAGTCGGGGCGGTGAGGCCGCTGGCGCTGGGTCGGCCTCAACTGAGGCCAAGCCAGTGGCGAAGGAGGCGGGGAGGACAGATTTGAGCGACCCAGACGCGTAGAACACCTTGGCAATCTAGCCACATGTCACGCCTGTTCGAAGCGGGCTGCCTTGTGTTTCGGGGTTTTGGCCCGGGCGGAGAGACGTTTGGAGTCCCTTTCTGTCGAGGGTCTGGCAGCATAGTGGTGGAACCCCACAACTGTGTATGCACAGCACTGACAGCAATACTTACCATATTCGTGCTTGCAAGGACGCCACCAAATATAACTTGGATACACTTGGATATTGTGGGGCAGGTGATGTCAGCAACACAAAGACGGCAGCTACTGTTGAGAGTGTGAGGGGAGAGGACGAGGGCAGGTTCTGCCACAACCGAAGCGTTCAAATATTGATTCGACCTTCTCACCCTCAGCTCAAAAGTTTGTCGAAGCCCAGCTCACCACGACTTCACTTGTCCCCCCCCACAGAAAAGGGCACCACCGCGTTTGAAAGCGTTTCCTGCGTTGCCATGCAGGTGGTCTTTGAGCAACCGCGGAAGGCCGCCACCTTCACCGTGGAGCTTCATCGGAATCCGTCCTCCAGCTTTGGCGTGGATGTCAGCGCGGCGGGGAAGGTCTGCCTGGTGAACTCGGCGTCTTGGCGCCCAAAAGAGGGCCACGTGGTGCTGACCAAGGTGGGTGCAGATCGAGGGATCAGGTCAGCTGTTGAAGCCGGCCGGTTTTACATTCCAAATGGGAGGGGTTTGATTCATCAACAGTTTAGATCATGTGACATGCATTTTTTTGCCGTGATACTGTAAAAACATCTTTCCCTGCATTGGGGTTGCACGATCGGGCTTGCGACAGGCTTCCTACATAAATGTAATACAAATCACCACTTGAGCCAAGAGTCTTCAGGTGGGTATAGATGGCACAAACCCCAAGATGTCTCTTAGATTCCATCGAAAACCACGTTGTGGGGATTGTGCCATCTACCCTCTATCCACTAGACAAGCGTGGCCATCATTAATCACATACTCTTGCTTCTGATTTGTCCGAGGTGATCGATGGAACCTTGGTCTCAGAGTGGAATGAGAAAATTGGGAAAAGCGGCGAAGATGACAAGGACCGGCGAATCCGACCCTATGATCGCCTCATGTCCTTCAACGAAAAGAAGAACCTGAAAGGGAAGGAGATGATGGACATGTTGCGCTCGGCCTCTGGCCCAGTCACCTTGATCGTGCAGAGGCCCTCTTTCCAGCGCGTGGTGCTCTTCAAGAGGGACCAGGAGAGCATGGTCCGGATCATGAGACCAACACTTGGTTCCTGGCATTTTCATGCATTTTCCATTTTTCCCATTCATTTCTGCCGTTGTTAATTCGAATGATTGGCCCCCTCCCCCGCCGTTGGCAGGAGCTCGGCATCACCGTGATTCATGGGCCCACCTTCCTTCTCATCAGCGACCTGGGAGTTCTCAAGAGAAGGTGAAAGATTTGTGCCAAACTTCCCTGCCTGGTCACCTTTGCCTGATCAACATCTGCAGTAGGGATTTGCGATTTTGTGTGTGTATACCAGGACCCTCCAAGGGGTGCCCAATGCAAGCCTATAGGTAGTGTGGGGTAGTCCATTGGACACCCCTTGGAGGGTCCAGGTAAAATTGTTTCATTCTCACCCCCATTGCGTCCTAAGGCAACATCACCGATGGAGTCTTCCAGACGCACAATGCCAGAGCTGCTCCGAAAGATGTGATCAACATTCCCAGCCGGATTGTCAGCGTGGACGGTCGCCGGGGCAACAGTCAACTCTTGTTGAAGCTCATGGAAGATGCCGAAAGCTCCTTCGAAGTCGAGCTGCTCCGCTACGACTGATCAGGTCTGACCGGGTTCGAAACAGCAACTTGCATATCTGAGAGGTTTGACCGGAGAGTAGGCAGAAGGAGGAAACGACCATTCGAGTGAACGAGGTTTTCTTCGGGAGCACGGTTCACTTTGGCGAAATACTCTGGTTGGTCCTTGTTGGTGTGACGATTTGGTATCGTTTCCATTTTTTACTGCAGATTCCAGTGCAGATGATCCGCACCCTCTTGGATACTCTCAGCATTTTGCACTAGGTTTCACTCACCAGCGGGGTTTTGAAGGTTTGAAGGCATCGTCTTGAAGCCGAAAGGCTTCATTTTCCTGGGTGCCTGGCGTCAGCTAAGCATTTGTGCCAGTGAGCTCCCAAAAAGGCATGTTTCTTCCAGTTGCTTCGTGTGTTTGATTGCAGTGATCACTTTGTCAATGAACATCCAGATGCGCTTGCCGGTTTGTTGATAATATATAGACATAGAATGACATAGACCTATCAAGGACCTTGAGGTCACGACCATAGACCTAGAACACTCTAAAATTGCGAGTTGCTTGAGCAAAGCACCTGAGCCAGCACCCTCGAACCCTGTCCCCCCGCTCCCGTCGTTTCGGGTCTCCCCGTCCCCCCCGGAAACCTAGCAGTCGATGTTGGCGCCGCTCCGCTCTCCAGGCTGCTCCGAGCTCCAGTGGATCGATTCTTCGACAAGCAGCCCGTGGGACGCATCATGAGCCGCCTCGTCGGCGACCTGCGGGGCCGCCGAGGGCGGTGCCGGGGGGGGGAGGCGCTGGGCGCGCCGGCGCGCGGGATGCTGGCCCACTCGTCGCTTTGCGTAGCCATGAAGAAGATGTGCATGGTGCTGTGAATCCTTGGATCTTACACTGGAACATGGCCCTGCAAGGATTGCAATTTTCCGAAGACCGAACAGTCAAGAAGTGCACTGTATAACCCTCCATGCCCCAAAAAACAAACAGGTGGAAGTTGACAATGGCATCTGTTTTCCTTGACATCCCTTTTGACGGGTCCACTCCACATTTGCTGGAAGGAAGGGTCTTCAGTGAAAGGAGTCGAATCCAAGGTATTTTTGCTGGAATGTCCTGGTCTGACCGAACATCCGCGGGGAAAGGTCGGCGGGATGCACTAGGAACGTCTCCAGCTTTGCGCATCTCTGCCGCCCAGGGCCAGTGTGGACTTGTCCCTGTACGCCAAGAGCCTCTTGACCATCACCATCATCTACGGGACCATCGTCCCCTTGATCTACGTGCGATGCACAGAGGGTCTCTTAATGTCTCTTAATGTAGACTTAGGGTGTAGCCCATTACCAGCAACAGTCAGTAAAAGACTATCACTGTTTTTGAGAACGGCCTCCATTAACCATCATCATCCACTGTCACTGGCAATGGGATAGACCCACTGTAGGCTCTTGGTTCATAAACCCCTCGTTGGACGAACGGCAGAGGTTTTTCCACCCAATTGCAGTGCAACATGACTAAGGGTTTGGTTTGTGTGGACGAACCGCCTGCAAGTGAGTGCAAGAAACAATTGGGGTGGGTTTTACTCATCAAGAGTCTACATTCATGTCGGAGATGGTATTGGAATCGCACGTCTTTCGCGATGAGGGTGGCCGCCACGTGTGGAAAAACACCCGTCACGTCGGTACAAAGACAGCGACGTTCCAGTGAAGGACATGCAGAGGCGCTTGTGTTTTCTGTTTCTGTGACACCCATGTGTGGGGTGCGCCTGTGAGGTGCACACCATGGTGCCAGCCATCATCACAGTCATGTGCTGGCCTCAGCAGTGAGCCTGCCGCAGTGACGCAGTGCCAGGAAGTTCTTTTGCCTGGCGCCGCATGTGCTCACCATGATGCAAGTTCAGAGGATTTGTAGGTCAACGGGATCCTCGGGGTTGCGACACGAGAGAACGCTTGAGACTCATGGAAACATCTTCATCATAGGCCAGCAGCCAGCATTTGAAGAGAGCAGAGGAACTAACTCAACTAAAGCAAGATCAAAGGGACTACTTACTTCTACCACATTCTAAGACCCAACATACTACGGGGTTCTTGACCGGTGTCACCAGATTCAGCCTCACTCAAAAAACGCGCGCATTTTTTCTTTTGCGTCGAGCTGCTCGTGGCACGCTGGACGGTCACTCAGGGCATTGCCCCTCTACTACCTCATCTACCACATCTATGAGCGCTACCGGAACACCTCAGTGTGCCCCTGGCCGTTTCTGGATGGGTTGGCCGGATGGTGTCACATGGTGTCATGGTCCGCTGTCCGGTGGACCCTTCTGCGTCTTCTTTTTGCAGGCCGATGCGCTATTGCTTTGCCTCGGCCAAGAGCGTGGCTGGCTGAGTCTGAGGGAGTGCGCTGATCGTTGGACTGTGAGGAGTGTTCAGATGGGTGGGAGGGCTGCAGGTTGCACATCTCCTTGTCAGTTCCCGCCCTTTTCGCCTCCCCCCCCCTCCTCCTCCAGTGCAATATGAAGGGTGATGAACACACCATTGTTTTTCACAGGTGGTGGAAACAGGTGCCGCATGGCTAGACCCAGTGCTCCTCATGTTGCATGGCAGCTGCAGTTAGACTCGAAGTCAAGAAAGCCTCGACAGTTAGACACGAACGGAGTGTGCTGAGGACATGAACGGCTTGGTGACCGATGTGATGTCCAGCACGGTGAGGAACCCTGAGGATTTGGCAGCAGCTTCCTACCTGGTGAAACTGGTGAAGTCTCCCTAAGTGTCTCCCTTTTGTGGGGCATTTTGTGTGGGAAACCGGAAAAGGGTTCGTAAAACGTGACTGCCATGCTGGTCCCAGGTGACGACTGTACTAAAATCACCAACGTCCACGATGTTTCAGGCATTTCTCGTTGGACGCGGCGGCAAAGCTGGACACGCCGGTGGCTGGTGTTCGAGGTTTCCTTCTCAAAGACGCACTTTCAGTCGCTGGGGATGTTGGCCGAGCCACTGATTCCAAGTTGAAAGGATATTTGGAAACCAGCAGTCACAAGACGGGGTGCTATCCATGGAGGAAGTGGGGGTGCCCAGAATATTCACTTTATTTGGGGACTAAACACACTTGGGGACAAGCCACACCACCCCGTCGAACGTGACTGGTTCGTCGGCTCGGTGGTCCTTCGGCTCGGTGGTTCGCAGCTCGGTCGGTCGACGTATGTCGACGGGCCGGTCGCCCCGGTCGCCCAGGCAGCGATCCGCGCCTATGGAGACGAGAAGCGGTTGTCAGACGAAATGTGGGAATCTCAGAGACAGAACTGTGGGCAGAGTGACCTGCAGAGCATGTGGGTCTGGGCTTGGCGAATTTTTCCATCCTTTTTGGAGCTGAAGGACAGCAGGTAGCCAAGAGGTGGCAGTCATAGCTCAAGCTATGAGGTGCCTTCAAGTGGACAAGACCTTGAAGGCAGGGCAGAGAATCCAGCGTCCAGCGTACTTGGCGTGCTTGGTGATACTGCACACGCATGTAAAATGATGTAGAATGTGAAGCATTATTCTATTGCTGGATGTCCCTATTCGACCATCCCATCTATCCCTTAACTGAGATGAACAGATTGATTCAACCTGCTGCACGAGCGGATGCCTCGAACCCACTCATGTTGTCCATGTGTGCTAGAGATGCCTTGCCTTTCTTCATGTCCGAGGTTTGCATGATGAGCAACAACGTTCTCCGGCGCTGGTTGGGAAATCGAATCCACTTCTTGTGGCTTTGCTCAACCAAAGTGTCGCGACTCGCGACCGCCGTGGGGGGTCCTGGGGCCTGACCCGTTCTGCCCGGGTCGCGCGGGTCGACGAGGTGGAGTTTTATGACCAGCACCACCTATGTGGCGAACGCCTGAGAGTGGCGATTGCGCGCAAGGCAGGCATGGCAACAAGGAGGACAGATGAACATTTGGCCCATCAAGCAGATCAAAGTCGGTTTTTCCCCTTCTGGGGGGCCTCAACAAGACCCATGATCAATGCAAAGCTGCACAAGACTCGATGTCCATGCACAGACCTGTTCGCGAGCGCTGCCCAATGTACCCAGGCCGCGCTGATGTACCCCGACAAGGTGGGCGCTGGAACGCTGGGCATTTGCCACTTGGCCTTTCCTACTCGGGCAAAGGTTTTCATGACGACCTTTCCCCACTCCGCAGCCTCATCCTGTCGGCCTGGCAGATCAGCCAGTGCCGATCTTTTCGCACTGCACTCGACAAAGCTGCCCAGCTGTCCAGTTGGTCCAGTTGGGTTGATGCGCTCGCCACATGCGGGCGCATGCTGGTGCCACTGGGGGTCCGCGTGCATGTTCCCCCGAACAAAAGGTGCATCCCTGCAATTCCCGGTGCGCGCTGAGGCATTACCAACCTCTTGTTGATGCAGAACCTCATTGAGAGCAACATTGACAGTTCAGGGCCTATGACAGACATCCCGCATTGACAGTTCCTCCCTGTCTCATACATGAAAGACTTGAATGTGCTCCGTGAGATTTAAAAAATATTATAATTTAGTCGGTCTCCAAAGTTCATGGAAGACGCCTGACATGAGCTCCTTATAGTTTAGAGCTTGCCAACCTGCTCATCCTCGTTGTGGACATGGAGGAAGGATGAGGACGGTCTTGCCCTGTTCGGCACCCTGGGAACGCGGAGGTTGGGGAGTTGCTCAGGTGCCATTGGATCTCTCTTTGAGCTCATTGCGCTGGTGGGGCCCCTGGACATGCCACCCGGGTGGCCGTTGGTCGGACCGGAACCCGGTCGGGACACGTGGGCGAGGTCGGCGAACACTCCGGTTTGGTGTTGGGATCGTGATTTTTCATCAGTTTGCGAGCGATTTGGTCGGTGGTCAATGTCAGTCACAAAGTGTCCCATTGGCCCATGACACGGAGAAAGAGAAGGCGAGCTGGCAGCTTATTCCACCTCAACACAAACCTCGTTGGAGTGGAATCCACCGCCCTTTTTTCTTCGCCTGAGGCGACCCGATGATACTGATAGACCACAGCTTTACAAAGCTCATCCAAGGAAGCTGGTGGTTCAACCC